GGAGATTTTCCTTTTTTCATTAAGGTTCATTTGACCGATTCAAACTTGTATAAATATATATTGTATTTTTCTTTAAAAGAGATCCGCAATTCTAATATTACATAAGACTTATCGCAATTTTCTTCATCGTTTTGTTGTTATTTGAGTTATTATTCTTAGAAACCTAGTTCTCTCAATTGTTTCGAAGGATCCAAATAGCTTACAGTACACGAATTCACCAATAACCTAGTGATACCTCATTTTCCTCCCCGTTATTGGCTTTCTCGACTTTTTCTTTTGCATGCCCTCGCCTTTTTCTTTTGCATGCCCTCGCCTTTTTCTTCATCACCGATTCACCGGCATCGCTTCTCCATGGTGAAATCTGGGATGAAACAAAAATCAACACAAAATTCTCTCCATAATCTGTTATCGTTATTGCCTATTTTCCACTCTAGACATTTACAGTAGAAGCTAAAAACTAGTTTAGAGTAAATTCATGATTCATATAAAATGATATTTTGGAAATTGCTTAAATTTGATCGGAAAATTTGAGAAAGAACTTTTCAAATCTAGAACAAATGTATTGTTTATATGAAAGTAATTCTGAAAATTGTAACTGTTTGGTAAACTAAGCAAAAAATGAGAAAAAAAATGATATGGATCGATTACTTAATGGAAACATTATATCATGTGGCTCTCCAAATGTTCCCACCCTCTATGCTTTCCGATAGAGTTTTTCTCGGCATTGTCCTCTAATATATCTAAAAAAATCAACAGAAATGCAAGATGACATAACGTTTTGAGCATGCAGGAGACTCTGCTTATCGAGCATTCTCCATCAGTTGGGACCGATATCTTCGACTATCGTTCAGCTTCTTATCGGCTCGCCCGATATTTCATCCTCTCGACCCATATTCGTCCCAAATATGCTTCCATCGATCGTCCCTCGACACGCAGGTAAGGATTGGTTTATCGGTCACCCTCGTATCGGTTGAGTAAATATTTCGTTCCTTTGATTTGCGGTTCCTTGGTCCCTTCCTTGGCTCTCCTGCGTCGATCCAATACTACCCCACGGTTCAACCTCGTGATTCCGATCACCTAACCGATATCCTGCTCCATTGCTCTTTTCTTCTCCTTTCTTGCACCATGGATCCATTGCTTGAACTCCTCCAAGCTCATTTAGCTTCAAACCACCTGAAAATAAGAGAAAACACTGCAATATGCACAAAATCTTAATCTTAAACTCGAAAATGCTAAACTAATCTAAACTAGTCAAATTATGAACCTAAGGGTGCCAATATGATGTAATGTGTGGAATGAAACAAAGGAAAACTAAGCCTAAAATCATGTATAATTCACTAACATCAATCATACAGAACACTGAACCCAACTTTTATAATATACTCCTTCTGTTTTAAAATATAAGTTGTTTTGGAGGTTTCATTTGGTTTCAAAATATAAATTGTTTTGACAATCCTAGATATTTTTTGCTTTATTGAATATTGTGCGACTGATAGTATTATATAGTGTCATTTATAATTGGTTGAATTATTTTTATCTTATATATTAATGATACTTAAAAAAATAAAATAAAATTAATCTCCGCGCTTTTAGCCAAACTAACTTATAATTTGAAACAGATGGAATACATAATTAGTAATTAATTCTTTGCTACTCGTTAGTTTTCAAGTTATTGTATCAAACTATCAATGTGTTGTAAACAGAACTGGATTAACTTGTTTCTCTTAATTTTCAGGTTATCTTATCAATGTGGTCGAAACATATTTGGATCAAAGGAGAATATTAAATATGCCAACAAAGAAAGAGAATG